CGGGAAGGGGGATGAATAGAGAAGGGGGAAGAGGGAGGGGAGGGACAGGGAAGGGGAGGACAAAGGAAGGGGGAGAGAAAAGGAAGGGGGAGGGAAAGGGAGGGGGCTTGTCGACGTCAACGGTTGACGTGGTTGTCGTCCTCAGCGTCCATCGACGTGTGGTGTTGTCATCGGTGTCCGTCGACGTGTGGCGTTGTCATCGGCGTCCGTCGACGTGTGGCCATCGATGTCGTCCATTGACGTGTCATCGTCGTCGTCCATCGTCGTCATCGTCTGTTGACGTGTTGTCATCATTGTCGTCCGTTGACGTGTGGCTGTCGTCGTCATCGCTGATGTGTTGTCATCGTCATCCGCTGACGTGACGTGTCATCCGCTGACATGTTGCCATCGTCGTCTGTCGGCGTCAACATTCATCAATGTGTCGTCATCCATTGACGCATGGCCATTGTCGTCATCACTGACGTGTCGTGTTGTCATCGTCCATTGTCGTCCATTGACACGTGGCCGTCGTTGTTGTTCATCGTTGTTGTCTGTCGATGTGTCGTCGTCCGTTGGCATGTGGTCGTCGTCCAATGGAGTGGTGGTGTGGTGATGTGGGGATGAGTGTCATCAATGATGGTGGTGGGTGAGGAAGAAGAGGGTGGGTGTGGATGGTCGTCATCCGTTGGTGTGTGGTCGTCGTCCAATGGAGTGGTGGTGTGGTGATGTGGGGATGAGTGTCGTCAATGATGGTGGTGGGTGAGGAAGAAGAGGGTTGGTGTGGATGATGCCAAATCAAATGTCGGTGTTTGCCAAGACTTGTTTAGGAAAGCCAGAGGCGACGATGGGTTATATATTATAATGTTACATATATTTTAAACAGTCAGATGGCCCAGTGGTAATATTGCGCCTTTGTGATCATGTGATTTGTGAATGCCTGGGTTCAATCCTTGCCCATGTCTTTATTTTTATTAGTATAATAATAACAAGGGTAATACTCATGTTCTGAACAGCATTAGTCAGTTCTGTTCAGCGTCACTCAGCATTTCAGTTGCTCAGCGCTGAGTAACTCTGAGTGAGGCCATTGCTGAGCTGCTTTCCAGCCAAAATGGCTGGGAAAGGAGGTATATTAATTCTGATCAGTGCTGATCAGAAAAATCCTCTTGCCGATCAGCACTGATCAGAACATGTGGGGGAGAGACAAGACCTCCTAACACATCATGAGAGAGGCATGAAAGACAAAAGACACCAGAAGAAGCACAAACCTCAAGGTCAAAAACAGAAGCCTGAAAACGCACCACATCCTGCCAAATACCATGACTGGCTTACTCCTTTGTGCTGGATGCATATTGTCATTGTTGTAAAACAGGTTGGCTGGAAGATGGGAGTGTCAGATATTGCAAAGGGGTTGAGAAAGTGAGATCCAGTTACCTTTGAGAAAATCAGCCGAAATACAATTGAGGGATGGATTGACCATGGTGGTGAACCCTCTCCATCCATTGCTCCCTCTCCATCCATTGTCCCCCCTCCCTCCATTGTCCCCCCTCCCTCCATCAATCCCTGCCACTCTCTCCCCCTCACACTCTCCCCCCTCACTCTCCACCACAAACACTCCTCTCAATCACTTCTCCCTTCAATATTTAATGTAGTAAAATATATATATGTAAACATATTCAATACATTTTTAATTCTCCCTGTTCAGTTATTAGTATGGAATAAGTGTAAAAACAACTGTAGAACTGATGATGTGGACTTAGATAAGTCTGGAATTATGAGTCCATAAAGTTATTCCATCTGGATTCCACATGGAAAAAGTATGGAATCCATCTGGAATTTGTCCAGTCCACCCCCCATTCCATCCATTCCATATGGAATAACCCAGGGAGGGTAAAGTACAGCAAGATGCTGGTGCAAGTTCATGGAAGACACTCTGAGAGAAACAGAAGGATTTGAGGGTGCCACCTACAGCCATGATGGAATTTTATAAACTCAAAAAGGAAATTTTCCTTATAGGGTAAGCCATATTAAGATTCTTTTCCTCCACTAGACCCATTCTGCTATATAAGGAGATAAGCTGACAAATAATCTCCTTATATGGTTACCTCCTTGGCTCTGTCTCACTCTGCATCACCTTCAAATGTTAGAAACAGCTATTGAACTTTCTGCTAATAAAACTGACTCACTCATGTTGCTGAGCAAGTCAATAAAAGACTGGCATGGAAAATGTTACTGTTACTTGCTCCAACAAATCCCTGTTCCTGCTCTGCCTAATAGCACACCCCCCTGTACAGGGCAACAGTGTTACATTTATAGTTGATTGATGAAGCAGGAAAGGGTCAGGGTTAATCAATGGAATCTATCAGCCATTCCATGGAATCCATCTAAAATTCCTGGAATCCACCCCCTTCCATGCATGCCATATGCATTAAGCTGGGGAGGAGCCATGAACTTATATGAAACCATAACATCCTTCAGTTCATTTCTTGTTGTTTTGCAACCAGTCTCTGAGGAATCCCAGGTTTTGAGTTCTTTGTTGATTCAGCATTGAAGGGACTTGTCAAACCCAACACATTTCATCACCCAGAGGTGAACAACCTATAAAGAATCACTGCCATGAGAATAGATATGAGATACAAACTCTTCTTCACCAGTCAAATGCTGCCTGTATATCACCAGCAGTCACTTTCCCCTTGTACTCTCCTGAATCCCAGACCTTCTCCAGCTGCTCTTCTGTTGGAGTGTGAATGTTATGCTTTTTTTGAGTGAAAATACATAAGTGAACACTGGACCCCCAGCCTTCTTGAAGATCATGTGAGCCCAAATTTGTTGCTGTCTCCAGCTGAAGTTTGTCAATGGTGGGCCTTGGAGGCAGACCCAACCTGAGCGAACTCTATACACAAAGTTGAGGAGATGACAAAGAGGTTGAGTCTTGGTGCAACATTCATCATTTTGTTTGTGCCTGTATATTTGTTTTGGTCAAGCTGATATTTGCCACTAGCCCAAAATGAAGAAACAAGAAGATCTCATGATGGATCCTGGAGTAACCAGTAAATATCTCCTTGCTGGCAGAATTCATTTTTTAGATCTCAAGCTTGAGGATGAACTCAAGGACATCATGGTTTCACATAAGTTCATGGCAATGAGGTATGGTGGCAGTGTGCAAGAGACCACTCCAAATATACCAAAGGTGAACTTTGACAAACATGGTTTTGACAACTTCATGTACTGCAATATGGACACTCACTCAATGGCACCAGAGATTCCAGGGGCTGGTGGCCTTCTTTTCAACCCTGATCATGTACCAGGTTTTACAGGAATCAAGTACCGACTTGTGTGATGTTGGCATTGAGAATGCTGATACAGTTGCAATGATGTAAGAGTCTTTGAACATACCCAGTTCAGTAGACTAAAAGTGCACATGCATCGAGTCTGAACACAGGACTAAGGCCTTGGAGCTGGCAGCAGTATGCACTGTAACATTATACTTGGAACCTATCTAGGATTCACCCGCCATGAAATAGAGTACAAAGAGGCTCTAGAGTAAACCACCCAATGCAGGGACAAGATTGCATTACTACCAAGGGTTTAGAAACATGTAATGGATTTTTAATATGGAAACTCAGACTTTTATCTTGCAATAAGACTACCAAGACTTCTAGAGGATAAATTGCATGTGGACATTATGAAATAATGTTCTACTACTAAAAGGACTATACTGTAACTATGTAGTATATGTATGAGGACCAAGTGTGGCTTGCAGCCATGTAAAGTGTCAAGTACAGCAATTCCCACATACACATCAAAGAGTGATGCATAAAGTGCGCACCTGGAAAGACATTAGGTGATCCATCCTTGAGACCCCCTGATAACTAAGAAAGTCATTTGAAGTCCTTCGGAGTGCCATCCAATCTCCATATGAGAAATAAAGAAGCTGGCAGCTTGCTGCATATGTACTGGCTGGCCCATCACTAAAATGACATGATACATCAAATTGGTAACTGAGGCCAAGAGAAAGAAGCATGAGGAACTGGTCCAGACTAAAGATAATAAAAAACTGGACTATTCTGTGAATGCATCAAATACTGATGCATTCACAAAAGAAAGATACCAACACTACAAAAACCAGTCAAAACACAACTGGTGTATGAATTCCAGATGATGAAGAGCTGTTTACTGGAGTGAGAATATATCAGAAAGGCAGACCACAAAGCTTTCTGATGAAAAAAGTGAATACTGCAGAGTTTTCTAATGAAAAAAGGGGATACTACACAGAATTGTAATAGAAAAAGCGGACACTACACAATTTTCTAATCAATAAAGGGGACACTACAAAGTGTTATAGTGTCCTAACTTTCCCCTTGAACAGCATCTGACAGTAGCCCCAACAGCTGGCAAATCAATCACTGAGATGTTGTTGAAGGAGATCATGTTGAGGTGTATGGTCAGACAAAGATGGACAGAGATGACTACCCAGGGAGATGCAATGAATGTTGGACAACATGACTGAAGCTAGCCAAGGGAACAATTAGAACACTTGGTGGTCAGTCAACACACAATTTGTGTATGGATTCTAAATGATGAAGAGGTCTTTGGCTGGAGTCAGTTTCTCTGAAACATTAAGCTATATTTCTAGGAAGCTGCAGGATATCAGAAAGGCAAACAACAAAGTTTTGTAATGAAAGAATTGGACACTGCACACATTTCTATTGAAAAAATCGGACGCTATACAGTTTTCCAATGAATAAAGTGGACACTACACAGTGTTGTAATGAAAAAAGCGGACACTACAAAGTGTTGTAATGAAAAAAGCAGACACTACACAATGTTCTATGAAAAAGTCGGACACTACACAATTTTCTAATGAATAAAGCGGACACTACATAGTTTTTTAATGAAAGAAGCGGACACTACACAATTTTCTAATGAATAAAGAGGACACTACAAAATGTTGTAATGAAAAAAGCGGACACTACACAATTTTTGAATGAAAAAAGCGGACACTACACAGTTTTTTAATCAAAAAAGCGGACACTACAAAGTGTTGAAATTAAAAAAGCGGACACTAAAAAGTGTTTTAATGAAAAAATCGGACACTACACAATTTTCTAATGAATAAAGCGGACACTACGAAGTGTTGTAATGAAAAAATTGGACACTACACAATTTTCTAATCAATAAAGCGGACACTACACAATTTTCTAATCAATAAAGCAGACACTACAATGTGTTGTAATGAAAATAAAGCGGACACTAAAAAGTGTTGTAATGAAAAAATTGGACACTACACAATTTTCTAATGAATAAAGCGGACACTACACAATTTTCTAATGAATAAAGCAGACACTACAATGTGTTGTAATGAAAAAAGTGGACACTACACAATTTTCTAATCAATAAAGCGGACACTACAAGGTGTTGTAATGAAAAAAGCAGACACTACAAACCAAAGTGATATTATGTAATGACTTTCCCAATTGGGAAATATGCGAACATCATCATTAACAATGACAACACCCTGCTAGCCATTAACTCTTCTGGCCCAAAAAGCGTGGGAAACAGTTCCCAACCTAATTGTGCACTGTGCTTGACATCATGTGTGTCAGAAAAAAGTGTAATGCCTTTCTTAATTAGGAAATGGCCCAATTAGGAAATAGTGCACACATCATCACTAACAATGACCACACCATGCTAGCCATTAACTCTTCTGGCCCAAAAAGCATGGGAAACAGTTACCCACCCAAATGCACACTGTGCCTGACATCAGGTGTGGCAGAAAAAAGTGTAACACTTTTCCAAATTAGGAAATGGCCCAATTAGGAAATAGTGCGCACATCAATGCATATACTACACATGGGTCAGACCCATTGGTAAATATCTGTCAACAAACATCTCAATGAGGGTATTCTGCCTACAAAATAATAGGTAAATCCCCTATCCCCTATATTAAAAAAATCCCAAGGTTTTCTCTTAAATATAGGACCCCAGACACCCCTTGTGGCTGAAAAAATATATCCTTAGTCAACCCTAGCTGCAAAATATATCCCAAGTCCATCCCAGACAAGAAATATATTTCTACATTGTGACAGTCACAATTCAGGGTCCAGCCATAGGAAATATATTTTGGGGTGTGTGACACACTAGAAATATATTTAGTGTGACATTGGACAACAAAATATATTTAGGTAAAAGTGGAGATATACAAGCCCAGAATATATACAATATAGATATACACCCCGACATTTAGTCCTGTAGTATTCATGGAGTTTGCAAGACTAATAGTCAGTTGTCAGTGGGTGACTGAAGTGATATATCATGTCTTAGCAGAGGCCATGAGGGGGGAGACAGAGTTGGGGACTCACATTGGTTTGGGCTCATCTTGTCTTTTGTTCATGGGAGGTCATCTTCATATGTGAGTGCCTGAATCCCTCTGTAGGCAGTGGTCATGGTATATGGTAGAGAATGTGTCTGTGTCAACAAGGACACTTGGACATGGATCAAATTCAGATTGAATCAGTACTTTCACACACCAAAATCCAGGTTGAATCAGCACTTAAATGCATCAAAATCTAGGTGGAATGAGCATTTCTATTACCCAAAGTCTCGGTTGAATCAGCACTCCCATTATACAAAGTCTAGGTTAGCTCAAAGCTCTCAATGTCATAAAAGTAAAAGCTAAAGGTTGAAACAGGCTTTTGAAATGGCTGTCCACAAAAATTCAACAAAAGTTGCTTGTGAATTGTGATATGAAGCTATCAATACAAGATGCCAGTGTAAGTTCATGGAAGACACCCTGAGACAAACAGAAGGATTTGAGGGTGTCACCTG